CGCACCTCTCATTAACACTTATTTATGTTTCTGTGCAGGATTTCATCATGAGCTGACATCGGCTGGAGAACCATTGGAAAACCTGCAGAAAGTACCCGACAGTCAGACTAGTTTGGGACTCAAATAAAGTATAACTATATTTCAATAGTTTACACACAATGATAAGTTTTGTAATTGGTAATATTTCGAGCAAAATTAACAATAGCAAAACTTATCATTGTGTGTAAACTATTGAAATATAATTATACTTTATTTGATCTAATCCACAATGCTCAAACTTTTTACTGATATTAATAGTTTGGGACTCCTAATCGCTGGGCTTTCCACAAATATGTCTTATAGTTAGGTTTGAACTATTTCATCACATCATTTTTATGTCCTGTATCTTTAATATGTTTCGCAGTAGAAGAGATAAGTCGTCTGTTTTCACGATTATTAATCGGTTCGGAAGCTGTCTAAAGGTATACCATGAAGCTCTGAGTTCTGCCTATATATGTATGACCACAAGTACATCTAAATTGATAGATACAGTGAGATGCGACATCATTTTTCATGCACTTCAAGGGCTTAGATGGATCTAAAGGCTTCACATTCTCAGTTATCTGTATCTTAGCTGCATAAAAATTCTTTTTAACTGCAGCGTTCAATCTTTGTTTAAGTGCTTAGCCGTTATTATCACCCAAGTAGGGTAGCTTGATACATACATCCTTCTTAGTGGCGAGTTAAATGATGGGTTTCGATGTTCTGATGGCTTTATATCTCCTTATGAGCTTATCTAGTTAATAATCAGTTTCAGGAAGAGTTTTTACTGCTGCTATTTCTACCACTTTTAGCCATTACATTAATACCATTTAACACTTTCTGTACATTTTTAACTTTATTGTCACTGCTAATACCAAAAAGCTGCTGTTATGAATTCTGGTTACGTAGGCAGTGTAATATAACTTTTGGTTTTGTTGTTGTTGTGGAGTAAATTAGATGTATGTAATATTACACGGAATACTGAAAATTCCACACTACCATAATTACCGTTTCTGCAGAATAAAGAAAATCATTATTATGATTATTATTTTCCTAACATTTGTGTGATATGCACAACTGTTTTAGCACAACGTTAGTATTCTCTGCTTGATTTCACCTGAATAGTAAGCAATTAAAGTCTGTTTTGAAATGTGTCGATTGATCGGGTGAGCCACATGATCACTAAGTAACAACACAACAATTCTGTGCATTATATTGCTGTGTAATTTAATATAAGTAATCATATGATTAATAAGTTAATTTAATCCAGTTAATCTCTTTCTCTCTCTAAAACACTAAAAGTAATTAAATGAACTAAACAAAACTTCCACACAACAGAACATACCTCTGGTTTCATGATGTCGAATTTCATATAACAAATATTTTTTTCGAAATCCCTGTTCCCCTTTCATAAGCTTTCTTAATTTATTCTTCTCTCCAAATGTCATTCATTTCAGGCCATATGGAACAGTATTCTTCGCGCTTATCCTGTTTTGAACTCGTCAACTTAATGTACCTTTATCCCTAATAAGAGGTGATTTTATCTTTAATACCCAAACCCTCGACTTCTTCTACATCCAGGCACCACAAAGGCTTACTCAGGCAACTAGTCACTTCTTTAAACTAATAACAGAATAATCAAAGATCCCTAAACACAACTAATTGGTATCCACTGAAACACCAAATCATTTTTAAAGCAATTAGTTCCCTCTATGAATTTCGACAACACAATAAGAAGACGTAGCTTATCTGAAACGTGTAATGTATTTGCGCAACACATTCCGGACATTCTGATCACACACACGCGTACTTGTCATACACAGTCATATAGAAGGCATGAGTAATTACAATACTGGTCAAGATCAAAAATAATGGTCAGGGTGATGACGCAAAGATGTGTTTAAGAAAGAAAGAAAAGACAAAGCAAAGAAGGGGTTGAAAATATTATGAAGTAAATTGATACTTGGTTCTAAATTGGATTACCAAAGCAGGTTTAAAGTAATAACAAATAACTTTTGGACATATAAGACAGGTTTAAGCCTTTTTATTGTCAAGGCTTCAATGAATTTAAGTATGTGACCCAACCTTGTTTTATATATGGGTTTAAAGGTATTACTGACTTAGAGACGGGTCAATATTGATATTATTTTAAACCTGCCTTGGTAATCCAATTTAGGACCAAGGTTAAATTTATTTGGGGACATTTTCACTCCCTTCCTTTTCTTACCCCAAACCTTTATGTCATCTTCCTACCCCTTATTTTTGATCATGACCTGACCTTTATTGTAATAATTCATCCTTCTTACCTTCTATGTAACTGTGCCTGACAAGTACGTGTGTGTTTGTGACCAGAATGTCCGAAATGTCTTGCTCAAATACATTACACCAAATGGTCTGTATGCAAACACATTCAGTGAACATATTCCAATTAAGAAAATATATACATTCTGGTTTGAAAGGATAGGCTGTTAAAAACACATAACAGGAAATATCAAAGCACTTGTACTCAGAGTTAATAATGCCAACAAGAACTGCCAACATTAGTCTTGTAAACTAACCGGTAGTAGGAAAAACACTTTCCAGTAATCAACCTTTGGATGTAATGCAATACTTCTTTATACATGATTAAGGTGTATTATCACGTTTTCTATATGCACGGAAGTGAAGTGTTAAGCAAATGACAGTAAATTTGTGTTTCAATAGGTCACCTAATAGATTTCGTATAAGATGATGACCTTACTTATGCACCTTATCATGCTTGCTCAGTTTATATTTCATCTGTTTTCATAATAAACTAACGTCTGAGTTTATAAGCAAAATGTATTTACCTGTATATCTCTGATTTTCGTAAATAAAAGCTTTTAAAAAAATATTTATTTATAAGTCATTTTCTTGGGGAACTATGAGCAAATCGTGTACAAATCAGAGAGTATCACATGATGCCTTCCAATGCCTTCGTCATCTTTAACCTTCCGAGTTGAACATCAGGGATTGACAACACATCAAAATTTCACTGTCTTTTTTAGCTGGTTCCACGATTGCTCATAACCTTCTATTCCCTTTTCACATGATATCCTCCCTATCACTCTCGGACGCCCAAACCGTCACTTCTAATTTGGGTTTCACTGGAGATGTCTTCACTTGAGATGTCTCTTGAAGGTTTCTTCAGTCTATACGTGTCATGTACTGATTTGCTACCACTGCATCTTGTGGATCATCTGGTCCTGGGGAAGCTAATAACGCTTGTATAGACAAAAGAATAGTACTTAATGACATGGCAGCAGGCCTATAACAGACAAAAAATAAAGAGTGTCAAATTTAAATAATCATAACGAATAGCTTTTGCGACCCAGGATTGTATTGATAGTACAGTACTATAACTTCCGTAACATTTCAGATATTATAAAAAATGTGAGGTGAAACATTTACACTACATCCACTGTACTGCTTATTAGTAGTATGGCAACAAAATGCTAGAAAGCCGATTATGTGTGACACATTCTTATGACACACAGGTAATGAGGATTTTCAAGCAAGAACAATGAAAAGTAGATAAGTATCCTACTCCTGTCAACTCCAGATGCATTTACCGTTTCACCTGCACTTGATGCTTCAAGTGCATAGGAAGGACTGAGAAGAGAGCGTTTACTAGATTCCCCAAGCATGTCCTAAAAGTCTCCCCCCATGAAAGGCAGCAAAGTATTTTCAAGTGAAATCTCCAGACATTTAATTGACTGACACGGGACATACAGTTGAAATTAGTCAGGCTTTCGAAATAATCAATTCACAAAGAAAATCGTGGTTACTTCGGTTCGCAGAAGCCATTGCCACCATCAAAAGACTTTGATCCAACCTATACATATATAAAGAGAGTGTGACTCATCTGTCACTACCCTGATAATGGTAATTATTTTGTTCGTGTGCTTTTGTGTTTTGTTCTGTTTCATACATAACATGATTTTGATTTTCACTCACTGAGGTAAACTCACTTAATTGGTTCCAAATGTACTGAATTAAATTATTTTATCTATCTTTTAATTTTGCTTCACTATTCACTCCGCCCCACCCTCCTGAACTCTCCACCATAATATGTATGGATTAACTCTGTTGTTCTATTTTTCATTTTGTCTCTACTCCATCCTTGTTTCCAAGAGAAATCTGAATTCCATCTCTAACTATATAAATAGTTACTCTTGAAACACTAAATAATTGTCTACTTACATCATCTTGGAAATTAGGTTGCTTATGCTTATACTCTCTATCTATAACTTGAAGTCATTGCAAACAGAAGTATGTTCAGAGACCATTTTGTAACATATGATTTATTTATTTAGGATGTAGGCAGCAGTTGAAGAGAATCAATGCACGACATAAAATGACCTGGTATTATCCTGTCTGCAAATATGTTCGTTATTTCTTTATTCAAACTGATAAAGAGAACCAGCTGTTTCAAATATATCCCATCTATCTGTTTTTTTCCGTTATATTTGCTGGGTAATAGGTTTTTGACTGGTTCATTGTCTGCGAGAGTTCTTTGTTACTTATTCTTCCTGGTCAGCCATCTGGTCTTCACAGTATGGACTGATAGCAAGTCTGCAGTAGTATAATGTAAGTGCTTTCTGTGACACCCGCACGCGAAGGTTCTGAATCATATAAAAAGCACTGAGTGACTCAACATTAGTGTTAAGAATTCAGAGTAACCTTTTATGCAATGCACTTATTGGAGGCATTTGAATTCGTAATAGTGGATCACTCACTAGTGTTAATCATAATTAACCTCTCGTGTGTATATGACATTATTATGTGACAGTGTTGTGTTTATTTCAATGCAAAGTTTTCATGAGTACGTTGCATGAGATTTAAATAAATTAATTTCAGTCGTATCTTGTATGAGTGAACCACCTTATCGACTGTTCTATTTTTGCTGACTATACCTACAAAATCCCCCTTGTTTTTCGGTTTTTTTTATTACTGCTTAGTTCTTAGATCAACGTTCAAGACAACCACCGGATAAAACAGTTGATTCATTTGAATATAGAGCATGTGAATTACGTGATCATGCAAAACATATCTATCAGTATAAAACCTCTGTATCAATTGCTCCAATTTTTACAACTTCCCTGTCAAACATTACATTGAATTCTGCTAAATGTGAAATGAAAATTGGGCGGAAAAAAATCAATTTTGGCAGTCCTGAATGGTTGCGTGCTAAAAAATTAAAAAATCCTGGACGTATTTGTCATACTGGATTAATAGATACAAGTAAACGTGTGAAATCTGAGGCCTCATTCAACTGGAATATTTTATCACGAAAGGTAAATTCATTTATCATTATATATACCCACTTTATAGGAAGATGGTTTAATGAAATGATGATTGTTGCAACACATTCGCTTATCGTCTGAACGACTAAATGTTAGTGAAATATACCGTCAGACACACAATATAATAATAATAACTTTATTTTGTACAGCGTTTATATATTATACAAGATTTTCAGCATAGTTCATAGCAAGATATTTTATCTTGATCCAGAATCTTCAAATGATATATAACGTGATGGTAGACCATGTGAAACACTTCTGCCTGATGTGAAGAAATTATGATGTCTCTTCTTTGTCTTCTTCGGTAAATGCATGTAATTTGGTTGAAAGGCAAGTAGAAAAGTTTCAGGAATCCATTCTGTGAACCAAGGACACAACCCATGAACAGCTGTCTCTTGCATTGCAATACTCCTCAACCTACGATTACGTTTTTTCTCACGATAACTAGAAACTTGCGAATCAACAAGTTGTAAGTACATTAAATACTCGTCAGAGTATAAAAAGTAACTAAAGGTGTGCATCGGTGGCACAGTGGTTAGGACTCTCGCCGACCATGCACATGGTCCGGGGTTCGATCCCCTGCCGACGCACACCCGATATCTATGGTCGGCCTGAAATTTGGGCTACCGATATCCATGCTGAAAATTCCATACTTGTACTGAAAATACGGTGTGGCCTCAAGCTATAATAAAAATAAAATAAAAATAAATAAGGTCATATTTTATCAGATTTAAACAAACTAAACGGGAGAAAATATATGTGAAATATTGATGAGATTTTTCGGTAGCCCAAATTTAAGCAGACCGCCAATAACATGACAAAAGCTACATGGTGAAGTTCTTTAAGAACAAAAAGTTCAGCGAAGAGTCTCTTTTCGTCGAATATATTCACTTAGTTGTACAACTGCATTTATGTATAATTATTGTGTGTGTGTGTGCGTGTGTGTACATCAGGATTATCAAACAAAAATAAAAGTTAGTTGGGGTTATTGTTTAGGTCGTCAAAGTGTTTCAGAAATATGATCAATAATCACATTGTAACTAGGAGGGGGTGAAGATTAGTAAGTACTGGCAAGGGTTGCGTAATATGAAAGATACTCAGAAAAATAGGATGTTATTGAAAGAACATAGAGAATCGCGTCCAAAATAAATTAAGTAATAGGTAGAAGGAGTAAATAAAGGGTTAGCTGAGTAAAAGATGTTACTAAAAAGTCATACAAAAATTCAAAAAAGCATTATTAACAAAGTAGTAGAACTTAGAATGATACCCATGGTAGGAAGAGGGGTTGGAGACGTTCCTTCTGTGTATATAAATCAAGGTTTTCCATCCGGATCGATAAGACCTCGGCAATACAAAGTATACAAAAGCTTGCTCGGGAGGCTTCTTTTGACTTTGTAGATGACTTCGGATGAAATCTACTTACATATTGAGTGACCAGTGTTGAATATATGTTCAATTATACCACTCCTTACTGATCCACGGTTATCTTTTCGTAGCCAAGTGAGATAATATACCCTGACTCTTTTAGATAAAACACTCATAGAACAACCTATGTATTTGTCTCGCTCCACATGAGCAAGTAAATTGGTAAATAAACACAGAAGTGGTCATATGCGATAGTTTATCTTTGGAGTTGTTGAAGAAAAATGGGTGGCATGAGAATACCGATCGTAATGTAGCAGCAAAGAATATTCTCTTCGGGGTGTTAGATATTCTTCTCTTTAGGATGTCGGCCAGAGGGTAGCCTTTGAACGCCACATTCATGTATAGCATCTTCTTCGGCACAGAGATAGGTTGTTCTTCGTTGATTTTCGGCTTTATGTGTTTACCTGTAAAGTGTGGTCGTCAGCCATTCTCAAGTAGTGTCTTTATTAGACTAAATGAATGATGGTCTCCATCCCCTTCAACTTTTATTAATTAGTTGTTGTAGAAAAGATCAAATGTCGTCCAATCAAGGAAGCTTACCTAGAAAAGAATAGACTCATTGATAACCTTCATTCCCTCACATATGCATGCACAATACACCAGTGCAAAAATATAAATTCTAGCGTAGTAAAATCATTTACCGAAATTGTTAAAAACCATTATCATTTTCGAAAGGCGATATGTGCACACAAAGAATTTTAAATACCTATTACGCTGGAGTTCAAATGCCACTACCCTCAGTATATTCCTTATTAAAACGATTATCAGGTTGACTGGGATATTTAAAGCAGGACGCAGCTAACACAAGTACTTCTAAGCTAAATCACTTTGTTTACTTCAACCTTCAAAACTGCAAATGAGAATTTATTGAAAAACTGACTTCGTCTTTTCAAAATTTGATTATTATAGACTAAAATAGTCTTTGAAAAATAATCTCAAGTATTTGCTTGTAGCATTTTATTAATAACATCTCTGTGGGAAGTTTTATTTACATTTTAGATTTGCTTAGCTTCCATCTATTTTAAATATGAATATTTGTTATCAGCATACGTTGAATGATATTCTGGACATTTGCTAATCTCCATGTGTAAATGTCATCAAACTGAACAGGAGAACTGCAATTTTAGAAAAACTCAAGTCTTTTAATTGTTTCAATGGAGTAATAAAAAAATATTTATCCTACAGAAAAACCGAAAATACTTCAATCAAAGTGATAAGATCAATATATTTTGTTCTCGAAATAAGAGAGTCTAAGAGCCTATTTGCTGTTTTTGAATCTCCATTAACATGTTAGTTGCATTGAGGTATTATCATATCGTTCCAACAAAATTGTTTTAACTAATTGATTAGGCTAACCGGAATGACTTTGGATTGACAGACTCCTTTTGGGGCATAGTGGAGAATGAAAATGTCAGTCACGCTAATATTCGAGCCGATGAACTTAAGATTACTAGCTCAACATTCTATCGTTTAAGCTATGCTGGTAGTTTCCATCGTCAGTTTATTCACTTGATTGGAAGAGTATTCTGTGTTATCCTCCATCCACTTCCTGATGATTCATTGTTCACCGGTCATCCTACAGATTTAAATTTAAATCTTAGCTTTAAGTTGGCTAATACCAAAACTCACTTAACCAATAATGGTATAGGCGTTTTGTGAGTGTGAAGTATTGTATAGAGAAGATTAATGATAGTAACAAATCAAGAAAGATATTTTTTTATTGCATGTTTCATCTCATTAGGTCTGTTTTAAACTGTAAATGCTCGTGTGGAATTTGGTTTCCAATATTATTTCCATTTCTTTAATTGGTTTCTCCTCATTCGGTGACTTTTTAAAGATATATGTGCGTCGGTGGCACAGTGGTTAGGACTCTCGCCGACCATGCACATGGTCCGGGGTTCGATCCCCTGCCGACGCACACCCGATATCTATGGTCGGCCTGAAATTTGGGCTACCGATATCCATGCTGAAAATTCCATATCTGTACTGAAAATACGGTGTGGCATCAAGCTGTAACCAAAAATAAAAAAAAAATAAAAAAATAAAAATATATCAATATTATACATATATATATAATATTGATATTGTATTGAACTCTCTAAATCTAACTGCTTTGTGTACTGCAATTTCTGTATGCTTTTCATTTTCATTTTTTACATAGATTACTAGGAATACATAATGTACAAATTTACGAAGTTGAGAAAATAAATCTACTACTACCATACTTATAAGCATCGCGCAACACCTTGCATAGTGCTAGACTGAATAAAAACAGGCCATGGGAAGTTTTAAGGTGTCTTTCCAAAGATTTTGTACTTATTGTCTCCTCTTGATTGCTAAAAGAACTTTAGATCTGTTTATCAGAGTCTATATGACTGTCGTAATCAATCTATGGATATTATTATTATTAGTGAGGGAGGATTAATCTGTAAATGCAACAGACATAGTAATTTCAATCCAAATCCTTTTGTACATCTTTTTTCTTCGTTTTAAATTGTCTTCTTTTTGATATTCATCAAATATATTCATTTATTGATAAGGAATATTAATTCTCTATGTATTTCATTGATTGCTCATCTTTGATTAGTTCTCAGTTTCTTTTTTTATCACTTCTGTAATTTAAAATTTACAGGTTGGTATTAGCATCATTATATTAAAATTCAAGACACTGCCTATTCATATGATTTCTTATTAATCCGCTTTTCATTTACATTGCTACTTGTTTAATGTACACACAGAACAAAGCCATAACTTTTCTTTCCCTGCTTTTTTTCTTTGATTTTAGGCTGAGCAAACTCTTTCCTCCTGGAAAAGCAGTCATTTGGGCTCAATAGATATGCACCCTCAACATGCACCAATAATGTCGCGTATGCAGGATATAAATTATCCATCGTTTCAAAGTCGTCCCAATTCAGATTTTGCACATACATCTCCCAACTTTCGCTCAGAAACTATTCCCAGTAGATATAATCAGTTGGAGGGAAAGAGGATCGTTAGTCATTATGATAAAGATATTTATTTACACGGACAAAGCGTAACCACTGGGTAAGCTTATATGTATAGTTCTGAGTTGTCTTTGGATAGATTATATGTTTTCTGTGAAGCATAATGACTTCTCCTTTCCGAATCGTAGCAGTGAATAGTAAAAATACACAAACTAGAGAGCTTTTAGGGATTATTTTAAAATAGCTATGGGTGTCCTAATTGTATACTTCGTGAACACTGTATACTTCCCATGATCTTATGTAGTTGAGCACAGTTAACTTTTAACTGAGGCAGAAGAAAGTGCTGATTGGTGGTAGTTCGTTTATATATATATATATATATATATATATACATATATACATATATATAACGTTAATTCTTTTCTTTTCCAATTTTGTTAACAGTTCACTCGGGGCTTTACCTCAGTCGCCTACTACACGACAGTCTTATAATGTATCACATGTTGAGTACAGCAAGCAGAAACGGCGTGATCCACCTCCGCGACCTCCTCCACCGCGTCTATCGACCATACGATTGAATAATTATGACAATATGGAACCACATAATTCAAGCGACAAACAGACTCTACTCTTATCAAAAGATAACATGACAACTCCTTCAAAATCGGATTATGTTGTTTCACCATGCTATGATGGGACTCATTCACTTAATTATGTCCGACGTAAAACATGCCCGTCTACTGACAGTTTTCCTCCTCCACTACCTCCACGTCCAGTTGCATTGTCTCCTAATCTGGTTAGTTGGTAGTGATTTAATATTTCCTGTGTTTTTTCTTATGTGCAACAGTTTCAGTATATCTTAAGAATACGAAGATCTCGAAAAAATAATCTGATGCTGATATTTATAAACTTTTTGGACTAGCATTATCTTTTCTTGACCAATTTTTCCCTTCATATTCATTTTAACCAAGAGTCACTATGACACTTTAATGTATAGATTGTGATAAGGCCACTGGCATTGTTGTTATCTTTTTGAATCCAGCTGGCCTATTTTCACTATAAAAGTTGTTGATACTTAATCTGAGAAGTAGATAAAATGCTACTCTCATTTGTATACGGCTTGCAAACTGAATTAATCTTTCCATGGCATGTTGTTCTACCTAATTTATATTCATACCCGATTAATTCACTGTTCTGTTTAGTTAGATCCTGGAACTAACATGTTTCTTGTACACATATACCTGCTACACACTTGTGGCTTTGCAAAACAAATGTACCAAGAAGTGAACAGATCATGTTAAAACATTTAATTACTCTAGGTATTGAGGAGGATTGAGGGTTTTTAACACAAATGTGAAGTCAGTCAGTCACTTCTTCTATACAGGTCAGTAACTTGCACTGCGTGTCACGAAAAGCATTCCCAACAAGCCATTGCTGACTTCTATCAATAGCTACCCACCTCGCTGGCTGACTTCATACTGAAAATCAGATGGCGGGCCGGTCGGACAGAAACAATTAGCAACACGAAGCTCTGGTTGAGAAAACACCAACCAAGAGCTGATTGCCTAACAAACATGTAGGAAGAAACGGAGATAGGTCGGTTGAGCATACGTTGAGGAGGCCGTGGAATGACATCGCGAGCAATGCAGGCCATCGCTCGAGTGGAATCTCAATGGAATGGGAAGCAACGAGTGCGTCGTCGGTGCCAGGGTGACATGGAGGAAATCGTGTGGCAAGCAGGAGATGAGGGATTATGGGTAATCGTGGGGTCAGTCAGGTGAAGAGGACAGCAGAAAATAGAATGAAGTGGATGTGTGTTGTTGAAGCCCTATATTTCACTTGCAGCCCAAGGGCATAATAATAATAGGTATTGAGGATTTCAAGGTGGACATTATCAGTAATGTTTTTGATGTATGTTACAATCGACAGATAGCTTAAACTGAGAACACACATCAATATACATTAGCTGATTGCTATGTTACGGTACCTTTGGAAAATGTGAAAGCATTTTTTTATAAAGAAAAGCCACTGATGTATCACTCATGAGTTTTCTACACAAGATATATCTACCATTGCATTCTTAAGTGAAATCGTAACAACAGAAGACAAGGGCCAGGTAACAGATCGTTTAATAAGGAAATCAACACATATTTATATATTTTCATGTACATTATTATAGATTAGTTAAGCAAACAAACACAGTCTTCTGATTGGTTGTTTCTCACTTAAAGTTAATCTTTCATCTCTTTGTGACTGTTTCTTGAATGTCAGATCATCTATATGTTAACTGTATCCGCCTACGCAAAGTTGGTTGTGGTCGGTTTTGAATCAGTCTTTGTTCATATTTTCTCACGACGAATCTTGAGAACGTAAACATTGACGTAAATTACTGTCTACCGATTTGGCTAGTAGACAGCTCTCACCACAAAATCACCTTCCTTTGTAAACATTTTAAAATGAAGCTATTCCTTTGATTGGACACTAGTTAGCAACTAGTGCAATGAGTTTAGTCCTTTGCCTGGATCAGTATTGGATATTGATAGCAATCCTACCACGTAAAACTAAGCACCACTGCTACCAAAACTACCAGACTCCAGCGTGAAGCCCTATGTTCCACTCAGAAAGCGAAGGAATGAAAAAAAATGAATAAATGAATATAAGCACAATTAACAGCCAGTGAAATACCTAATGTGATTAGTACACCATTCTTGCTATATTTACTAGCGGTCAATATCTAGAGGAGAGTAACTTTAATTACATAACCCCGCTAATTGTAGCGTCGTGGTTCAATACTACGATCGTTGAATGATAATTTATATTTTTATGTGCTTTTTAAATGAAATTTTGCATTTAAAAATTCCAATTTTCTGGTGCACATATTATCGATGGCATTATATGCTTGAACAGCGTTGCATTTCCTGCACTTTTATCAGATAATGTTGCTTCATACCGATATCAGCGCAATGCAGTGCAAAAAATGGAGGCAGTAATTTCAAAAGTTAAACGCATATTATCGAATTTTCATGAAACCGTGTCGGTATGTGGCGTGTGCTACTGTTACGTCCCTAACTAGATCGAGACACTGAGTCCTTATTTAAGGAAGAAATAGCGAAACGAGTTTCTGAAGTCCACAGCAGGACTTCCCCCGAGGTAGCCTGGCACAACATACAGTTAGCTGTGGACACAGCTGTGAAAGCTGTTAATAAGCTAAAACCTAAAGTTAATAAAAGCCATTGGATCTCTACCGCCTCATCCGAACTGATTGACGCAAGAAGACTGATTCCAGCGAGCTCCGATTATGATGAGGAGCAAAAGGTACTTAAACGAAGACTAACAAAAAGTCTTCGCAAGGACCGTGAACAGTGGTGGGCGACGAAAGCGAAAGAGATGGAAAAGGCATCGGTGATTGGCAACACCAGACAACTATTCAGGCTTATCAGGGAAACAGGTGGCAAAAGGCAAATGATAAGCGAAACAATCTCTGAGAAAAATGGCACCATAATTAGCTCCCAGGATAGACGACTGGAGCGCTGGAAAGAACACTATGAGGAGCAGTTTAATTGGCCTACAGCCACACTTAACCTGCCGAACATCCAACACCTCCCTGAATGGGATATAGACACAAGTCCTCCGTACTTAACTGAGGTTACTAAAGCTGTCACTAATCTTAAGCAAGGCGAAGCAGCGGGACCTGATGGAATGAATCCAGAGGTATTTAAGTACGGTGGAGACAGTTTACTGTCTGCACTAACTGAGGTTCTAGGCAGCGTCTGGGAATCAGAGGAAGTCCCATCGGGTTGGTGTAAGTCACTGATCATTCCGATATACAAGAAGGGAGACAAGTCTTCGTGTGATAATCACAGAGGGATTAGCTTGACTAATATAGTATCTAAAATCCTAGGCTCAATAATACTGCGTAGACTAAGTGGTGCTCGGGAGGCACAAACACGAGAAAACCAGGCAGGTTTTAGGCCAGGAAGAGGGTGTATTGATCATATCTTCACCCTCCGACAGATTCTAGAACATAGGCATTCTTACCGGCGTCCAACAATCATTATATTTCTTGACCTAAAGGTGGCATTCGATTCTGTCGACCGAGAGGTTCTCTGGCGATGCTTGGCTGTAAAGGGAATGCCGAGAAAATACATTGCACTGATTAAGGCACTCCACTCGTACTCATGCAGCCAGGTGAGGGCTTACGGCGAGTTGTCATCTGAAGTGTTGACGACTAGTGGCGTCCGTCAAGGATGCCCATTATCCCCATTCCTATTCAACTTCATCATAGATGTACTAGTGGACTTAACCCTAACTCACTTCAGCGACTCACGGGTTGATTGACTTGCTACCAGGGAATAATCTCGTTGACTTAGAATATGCAGACGATAAAGTCCTTCTAGGCGAGGACGCTGACAAAATGCAGAGTCTTCTGAACACCTTGAGCTGAAATCTTCGTATGTTTGGCATGCGATTCGCCCCTGTAAAATGTAAGATGATGCTGCAGGATTGGACTACACCGACCCCTAGATTAGAAATAGGAAGTGAAGTGGTAGAGCACGTTTACCGCTTCACTTACTTGGGAAGTACCATCAGCCCCAACGGGTTGATCTCTGACGAAATCTCAGTACGAATTCAGAGGGCTAGTTTCGCATATGCCAGTTTACGCCGTCTCTGGCGTAGACGTGATATCCGAATATCCACCAAAGGGCGTGTGTACTGCTCATCAGTCCGCTCCGTCCTCCTTTATGGCTGTGAGTGAGACCTGGCCATTGAGAGTGGAAGACATGAAAAGATTAGCTGTCTTCGATCATAGGTGTCTGCGTTCTATCTCCCGTGTGAAGTGGAATAATAAGGTGAGCAATATTGAGGTTAGGCGTCGAGTGCTAGGTAAGGCGGGGAAATCAGTCGACGAAACTGTGAAATTACATCGACTGAGATGGTTGGGACATATGTTACGTATGCCTAGTCATCGCCTTCCTCGACGGGCAATGTTAGCTGATATAGGGCCAGGCTGGAAAAGAGCTAGTGGCGGTCAAACGAAAACATGGCACCAGTCAATGAAATCCACAACAGTTAGTCTAAGCCACGTAGGAAAGTGTAGACTTCCTGGTTGGGGTCCTCGGGACGGTAAAAACCAATGGTTGGAAACAATTGGTGACATGGCTCATAATCGTTCTCAGTGGCGCAGATGCATCCACTCCTTGTGACTTATGATTTCCAATTAAACTGTTTTGTTCTTCGTTATTACTATTCCTTTGTCTCACACCTCTGTTTACTGTCTCTAATATGCATTTCTCCTAGTTTCTTCTCTTGCTTTGTGTGCTACATGGAGTGTGTCGACTTGAACTGCCGCACATATGTGCAAAGTTCTTTGTCGAAAACCGACTGACCGGCGACTCCACACTGTTGAAAGTGTCACATGGTTGTGCTTTATGTGAAGAAGGATATCCGATTTGTGATATTCAGATCCTTAACTTTTTTATGAGAATTTTTTCAAAATCATAATCTGACCCAGTCTGCCATACTTTTCTTTATATTGTGATCAAAAATATTCGAAGACTAGCAGTGAAGCATGTTCTACTTGGAAAGCTTTCTGAAAAGTGTTTCTTGCCTTGTAATCAGAAGGTCCTGGGTTCAAAACTCGTTGGGTGCTTACTGTGAAGAGTTTCAAACCAGAACGTAACAGCGGTTCATTATTTCCAGGTTTTCCAATGGTTCTCCAGCCGATGTCTGCTTATGATGAAATCCTCCAACCAATGTTCTCAAAAAATTTACGTATGAATTCACTATTTAACAGCA